CTATATATATATATAATGCATCATTGTACATTTTATACATTTACATATGACATAAAAATAAAACATATAGTGTCTTCAAACTCCTACTTAATCGATATCATATTTGGTTTTTTAAAAACAATGAAGAAAAAAACACAAAATTAGAATTTAATGTTAAAAACTTTTAGTGACGATTTTCTGGGCTTTTGTGGCGACTGTTGTTGCCGCTAAAGGTCTAGTTCTTTTGTAGTGAATCCTAGTTGACAACGCTTAGGTGGAAGGATTAGTCCCACGTGGCTTGCCACGTCAACAAAAATTTGGGGTGTTAACTCTTGAGGGTATTTGTGGTCTCTTAGGATAACAACAGGGGCATTTTTTATCCCAAAATGTAACGAAGGGTATAAATGGTCTATTTCATATAGTTCAGGGGCAAGTTTGACCCTTTTCCGTAATATATATGATGAAACAATATATTTTAAAATATTAGTCTAAAGCCATACAAATTGACTCTCGAAAAGACATGACAAGTAAAAATAAACGGAACAGAGTACTAATTAATTTCTTGAAATTATCCTAACAACTAACATTAACTATGATTAGGTGAAAACAATGTCTTCCAAATCTCAGAAAAAGCCTCAACAATCACCCCATGACAATTCTTAGCATTTAATGACAAAAAACATTCCAAAAGTTGCTCCAAATCATTTTTCTCAAACATTTTTTTCTCTAAAATCATTTCCATCATCGAACTTTTGAAATCTTCATACGGGTCCTCGGATTTCTTCACTATGGCAAAACTCTCCTTTACTTTCCCTTCCACATTACATGGTATCAACTTCTTGAACACCGATAACCTTGGAGGTAACTCACCGTCCGATGATGTCGTTGACGTTGAAATTGATAACCGTTTACCTGAAAAATTAGTTAAGACGTAATACTCTATATCAATTTAAGCTTTTAAATGAGATGAATAGACATTTCAATAAAGTACGTACTTAAGTAGGTATATAAAAGGTTTTAGGATCATAACTTACTCGCTTGAGGAGGAGGCGCACTAACACTTAATATAATTCCTCTATCTATTTAAGTTCTTAAATGAAATGGTAATATAATTCAACCTAATCCATTTATAATCAAACAGACTCCATCATCTAATTGTTTAAACTTTTAGATCGATAAATCAATCACATAATATATTCAACACTAGGAACGTACCAATATTGTTCATGCCCCTTGAAACGTTAGATCTTGTGTTTTTGACATCTCTTCTCTTGCAAAAGCCAATCTTTTTTTGACACCTTCTAGTGGTATTTTTGTAAATTGTATCAAACTCTTGGCTAAAATTCGAAGATGAATCATCCGAAAACTCCACGTGGCTTTTACAAGAAGAAGATATGAATGTCTCAGTCTCGTCTTCTTCATCTTCATTAGTAATATCGATATCCTCATGATAATCCCAATTAGCTTTTTTACTAGTAAAATTAATCTCATTTTCATTCATTGATGATGATGGGGACGTAGTGTTCATCATCATAAGGAATTTTGTTTTACTAGTACTAATTTTTTTCTTTCTACTACTTTGGCGCTTGTTTATCTCTGTTAAAACCTCGTCATTGTCTGAATCGTCAGAGATAAAGGGGTAAGAGATTTTCCTACGAGGTTGTTGTTTTGTATCATCATCGGAGGTCGTCTTGACAAAATGTTGCCACTTGTCTTCTTCTTTTTTCCACTTGAATTCATGTGAAGGTGACCTACTAGAAAAATTAAATAAACAGAAGGTAAGAAAGAAAGACTTTGAGACTATATTTGTTTAGAATAATCATATTTTTAAGGTTTTATTTAAACTTAAGTAAAATTCAAAAATATCAAGTACTTTTTAATATGTTATGTCTTTAAAGAAAAAAGTTTTCCTGACAATCATTTTACTATATTATTATTCTCTTTATCTCAATTTTTATGGCGAAAGATTAATTTAGCATAAAATGTAGTATAAAATTTAAACCTTATGATTTAACTCAAGTCATTAGAATTTTATGTTATTAATTCTTTAATTAAAAAAAATTAAAAAATTTAAGTAAAAATTGTTGTAAGTATAACTCCACTACTCTCTTTGTTCCACTTTGTTTGGCACCACTCAAAGAGAGTACTCAAAATACTTACCCTTTTTTGTTGTATGCGTAAATTCGACCGTAAAATCTTTAAGATAAAGCTTGAATATATTAAAAATACTATAAATCAAAATAATTAATAATTTAAAATATTTAAAATAACTCATAAAAAAGTGTGGTACGTCAAATAAATTCACTTTTCTAATAATAAATGTGTGACATAAATAGAAACAAAAGGAGTAATTAACAAGACCTAGTGTGGCTGTCATCGGACGTAGTACTGAATGCTTCTCCATTCCTTGAGCTACATTGGCCTCCGGCAGTTATCGGGGTCACCGACACGTGGTGTTTGAAGGAGGGTGAGGTGATTATGGGGAAATGATCATGATGTGTCGATATCAGTTGTGACTCGTTATCTTGATGAATCATTTCTTCGAACAGAAGATGATCAATGGTGATGAATTGTGTATTTTGTAAGAATGAAGGGACAGGATGTTGAGGAAGTGTACAAGGGTCCTTGGAACGACATGAATGGAAAGAGCTAGAGATAGCTTTAGATATTCTAAACTTCAAAAGTTTTGACATTCTTTTTCTAATTTGTGATGAATGATGATCTCTCTCTATGGAGTGGAGAGGACTCTCCAATTGCCTTTATTGACCAAAAAAGTGTAAACTAATTAGTGTTCATGAATAGGGAAATTGGAGGTTGGTGTTGGGGCGGGGCCGAGGCAGGATTTTCATTAAGGAGATCAATTAAAATATAAAAAAAGTAATCATATGCTTTCTTCTTTTACTTGTCAGTTGTTATACATTTTGGAGTCAAAAATTTGACTTTACTTTGGGGTTGAATTTGACTATATGAAAAATTATACTCCCTCCGTTTCACAAAGAATGACCTCCTTTCCTTTTTAGTCAGTTTAAAAAAGAATGACCTCTTTCCTTTTTTGGTAACATTTTACTTTTTACTTTCCACGTGGCATATTTAAAACCACAAGATTAAGGGCAATTTTGTACATTTGACATAACTTTAATTTAGGACCATAAGATTCAAAAGTCTTCTTTATTTACTTAAACTCCGTGCCAAGTCAAACCAGGTCATTCTTTGTGAAACGGAGGGAGTATAATATTATGCAAGTATAATGTATAAAATATTACTGCTAACAAAAAGGAATGTTGACTTTGACTTGTACTTTGTTTATGCTATATGGTGAAGCACTACAATTCTGCTGGCACAGCTAATCACATAGATTCAATACAAATAGCCAGTGGCCATGTGCATTCTAATATGTTTCAAGCGTAAAACTTGAGAAAATTATCTATTATTATAAAGATTGATTTGGTCAAAATTAGCCTCTAATAACAACTAGCATTGTATTTAATACAAAGAAGTATCACTACAAAAAAACAAAGATTTTTTCAATAGTAAATCAGTGGGAAATTTGAGCTATAGAATATGATTTTTTTATATATTTTTCATCAAATCGGATCACTAGGAAAATGCATGTTGAAAATATATTATCATTGAAATAGTGAAAAAAATTCAATTTTTTTCATATAAAAATATTACTCTCTTTTTTTTCTCACTAATTTAATCAAACCATCTCTGAGAATAACCAATGAACATTTTTCAACAGAAAATTCAGCGAGAAAAAAGTGATTTTTTAATAATGTGCAGAAGCCATCAGTTTATGACCACCATATTTTGACTCGTGACCCTTATTAAATATAAGTCATCTAAACATTGAAAAATGAATAGTTTTTAATGGCAAGGATAAATAGACATAACATGGTAAATTATTCATTGGTATTATAAACGGGACAAGTATTGTTGGACATTCTAAAATAGTATAGTGGACAAGTAAAGATGGACGAAAGGAGTAGTATAAAACAATATTTATATTATCAGTATAATTTAATTAACTTGCAACAGTAAATTACTTACTTATTTTAGGGTTTCTTATTTAACTCATAATTATGAGAAGTTACTTGTTTTATATTCTAGATTATCAATTCGACTTATTATGAGTAGTTATGTATCTTAAGATAACATTGTAATTTTCCTCATACTAATATGATGAAAAATTATGTCTTGAAATATTTATAGTTTGACTCTAGAGAAGAAAAATGTGATAAGTAAAAATAAACAGAGGGAATAACAATTTAAGGAAAGTCTCCATCGTAATATAATTTGATGTAGACAATCTATCATGCAGGTAAGTTTTTACCGATACCTAATCATCACTTACCCCCTTAACAAAGAGAGTATTTATTTTAAACAAGGGGAAAAAACTGATCTCCAAGGATAACAATAATTAATTAGGTACATATTGTTGATTAAGGCATATGGGAGGGAGAAAAGCAATCATTTGTTTTCATCATGAAGCCATTTGTATCATTATATATATATATGCCTTCTATAACCACTTGAGATGGAAAAATAGCAAAGCATCGTCATAATTGTGATGAAAACTTTATGCAAGATAGGCCCAATGAAAAGTCAAATCAAGTAAGAAAAGATAGTATGGAATCCAATGGAAAAAAAAACATAATCATATTAGGTACGATTGTTCACTTAGACTTCTTCAACTAAATATATGTGTTCAATTGAGATGTTTATGTAAAATTTCAAGTCATTTAAATATGTGGAAGCTTCTAGGAAACATATGCCTCAATCTGCAATCGAGGATGTGTGACTAAGTAGTCAATGAAGCAGATTGAGCACCATGAGATCTAATGCTTAATTTTCAGCGGAGACAAACATGATATGTAAAAAAAAATTCCCCATCCATCCAAATAATAATAACTTTCAAGGAATTGAAATTGATACTAGCAACAATTGGGGGATGAAAATACTAATCACCTCTAATAACATTCAAGCAAGCACCAAATCTATTCTAAAATCCTGAAAAGATAGAAATATTCTTTCTAGCAAGCTCTAGGTCATATCTTAGTTAGAAATCAAAAGACCACCATATATGCAGATCTCATGTCATATAAAACTTCCAGACATTTTGTCTAACAAGCCTAATTTCAGATACGCGGTGCCTGAAGTTGTTTCGAAGTGAGTAGAGTTGCAAATTTCATGCAAACAGGGCCGCAAGCTGCATAAAATCACTTGAGAGACTACCAAAAACAAGTTTATCATGAGAACTCATAAAATATAATCTTTCTATTCCCGTGCAACTTTGTATAATTGGTATCTCAACTGTAATACAAGAAAAACAGTAAGGGTCTTCTAGTGTAATTTCCGATCTCTTAGCATGAAGCAATTAAGTAATGATTTTCTTGAACTCTGCACTCATATGATTTTTCAATGGTGTCTGGAGAGATGGAAATCGAAAGGAAAAAAAGAGGTACAGGTAACAAAAAGTTAGAAATGCTTATCCCTGTTGCAAAAATGCGCGTAATCTTTACCCAGATACCCCTTTAGTCAAATACCAGGGAGCAGGTTGGTGTACGTTTTCATTTGTCTTGTATAAATAAGTGGCAACCGTGCAAATTTGGACCCTTGATGTTCTTCTAGTCATAACTTACTTCATGTTGCGGTCCTCTGTTTGCTCTCAGATTGTTTTTGACTTAATTTTCTTACTGCCTGAAACGATTCATGGAAAGATTAATCATGCATGCCAAATAAAATGAGTGGAAATGTTCAAGAAGCAATCACAAAATTAACAAGAATGTTCAGGGAGCAATTGCAAAGTGCAATTATAAGGGTGAAAGAGGGCAGGTGGAACGTACTATGGAGAGAACTACGAGCAGCTTACAAAATCTTACTTATAAAAAGAAAATAAAAGTAACAGCAAGCAGCAGTTGGTTTATCTGTCAAACCTAAATAGGCACATTGTAGTACAAATCTAAAGTGACCCTCATGAAGAGCAAACAAGGATTGTTAAAATAAAGTTGACAATTCGATTGACGAAAGGATCATGTAACCTTTTCCAGAACTCTTATGACATTCAACAAATGCATTAACAAAGGAGTTCTCCCTGTAACTATCCTGCACTTAAATATGTTAAGGTGGATAAATAGGGTTAGGGATGGCACAAGTTCACTATAAAGGAATAGGAGAATGGAGATGGAGTTGTGGAGATCCATTCTCCCTTTCTTTCTTTATTTTGGATGATGACAACGGAACCTGCAGCCGATACCCTTCAGGTGCACACAGGGTAAACCCCGCTCTAGTGCTGTGCAGATCAGTCCTCCTTTAGATACATACACCTTTACATTACTGAATTCCTAATTTAAAATTCTATTTTCTCCCCGAAAGAAGTATCATTCTCTACCATCCCTAAAAGATCACAAGTGTGGCAGGTACCCAGTAGAATAAGTCGAGGTGCGCGTAAGCTCGCCCTGATTGCCTGACAACACGGTTATCCAAAAAAAAATCACAAGTGTGGAAATGATGTATTTTTCCCTTAAAAGTTCATAACAACTCCTCTAAACGGACGATTTGCTTGCGTTTAGATCTTGAATAATTAACTTGGTAGAATCCCAGTATAGCAACTCCAGGAAAGATTATGCAGAAGTATAGTGGCTGATATTGTACTTATTTAACTCGTTCAAGATTCTCACACCAAGAACAGATGAGTTTGCAAGCTCTCTAATGAAAGGAAGACTGAAATATAGAGGTGATAATCATGAAACTAAAGATCTCACGGGTTTTGCACAGGAACAGCTTGAGGATAGTATTCAGTTTTAAAAATGCAAAAATGACAGATCATGAGGTAAAACAAAATCAAGAAGTGTATGAATTCCAGGACAGACCATAAAAGGTTACAGCTCGCTAGAAGAAGGAAAAAAAAAGTATGATCCAAGGATTTTAGAATGGAAAAAAAAAAGTTACGGGAAAATATCCTGACGTGTAGACATGCAGAAGCAGAACAGACAGGCAGATGGTTGCAACAATAGAATGATTGCATTTCACTCGACAAACTTTGAATTACTGTTCAAGAACCAAACACTGGACCTAAGAAAGTTTATAGCAGATGAACAATTTCAAAAATTTCAAGTAAATGAAGAAAAGATTGATGGAGAATGTAAACAAACATGAAAAGAAGTTAAGAGAGAGAACAATCAGCTTCACAATCTTATCCACATAAGAAATGGGAGAAGAGAGAATTTGTATTCAGTCCATTATCACGTTTACAACAAATCCAAAGTCCTGATTTTTTTAACCACATCAGTGTTTTGGACGGCAAAAGGCGATAAAAGGCGACAAGGGTCTGCCTAGCCACAAGGCGAGGCGAGCGGCGAGGCGCTTGCCTTTATGAAGTCTAACCCAATTAATACCAAAAATTAAAATATTTAATTGCATATGAAAATAATCAAACAATAACATATTAGCAATTTTTTCAATTCAAAAACTAAAAATAGATAGTACATACTAAAAGTCTAAAACTTGAATGAGAAAAAATAGAACAAAAGTCAAAACAAAGGTAGAAGTGACTCTAAAGTCTGATGAAGAAGAAGGAAAAAGAACAGAGGAAGAAGAAATCTGAAGAAGAAAAGAAGAAATATGTATTGGTTAGACTTTGAAGTCGCCGGAAAAGTCTGGCTAGTTGCCGGAGGAGTCTAGTCGAAAACCCTAAAATTACCTTTTAACTTTTA